CTTAGTGGGTGAGCTAAAAGGATCAGTCCCGTTTAGGAGGCCTGATGAGAGAGCCCAGCTGCTCTGGAAGCTTCTGCAGAAAACAGAAAGTCCCGTGCACAGTAGACACAGCAGTCTTAATATTGGTTCCCTTCACTTGAATTAACTCTTCTTGTTGCTACTTGTGGACTGTCTGATATCCTGGAGTCCTCCTAGGTTTTCTTTAAGGTGGTTAAGATGGAGCTGAGCTATGGGTGCTCCGCAGCTCAACTGATGATTTGTCATGCCAGTGATAACTGCTGATTCTTCTTTCCCTTCCCAGCGATGCTTTATCCCTGTCACATGCTCAGCTTCCGCTGGCCCACAACCTGGTGCCGGCTTTGAAACTGGATCCCTTGACTGGTTGTGACCCATGCTGGTGCAATGGCTGGTGCAGCAGATTAATTTACCAGTCACCTGTTTGTGTATCACTTGCTTTGCCGCTTGGAATAGAAACTGAAGGTGGTTGTTTCTGAATGAAGCAGATTTCACTATTGATAAAAGAAGCAGGAAGACTGGACTGCTTGTGAGGATCTGGTTTGGTTGTTTTGGAGAGTGAGAAATTGTTTTCATTAAGATCACTTGTTGCTGTTCTGTTCCTTGTAATCTGTGTACGTACCGGGTGTTACCTCCTGAGAACAGCAGGTTAAGTGCCTGGGAAGTGCCAGAGAGAAAGGTTTGGTGGCTCTAGAGACGTCACGCAGCTTCACTGCCCTGCACTTGCTTATGCTCCTGCCCTGGGTGGTCAAAAACTAAAGTGAGATGCTGGAGTTTGTCATAGCTCCCTGAAATACACCCGGAGTTACAATTTTGTGTTTTTTACCTTTTTCACTAATTTTTAGGTCTCAAATACAAATGCTACCATACAGAGGTGGAAAAATTGAGGGAGCTCTAAAATATGTTTGAAGACCAATGTTAACAAGTGGCATCTAAATTTCTACTCTGCACCTGTGTTCTACCTGATAATAGGTCTCATTATTTTTTAAAAGATGGAATAAATAACCATTTCCTTTTCCCCTTTCCTTTCTTTCTACATTCCCTCTAACATTCATTTTCCATTGCTTTTTCTCCTTCCCCCGGGCTGCGGCCTGGGACTGCTACCTTTCACTGGTGCTCAGGCACAGAGGAACAGTAGCAGTGCACTGAAGGGTGTTACTGGGATGTCTTCTTAGTTAGAAGCTGTGCTGTCACTGCATTGAAACAGCCTGCATTAGGTGCTACAAATGAAACTCCTGGACCTAATTTTTATTTATGCTGATGCTCCAGTACTCTTGTTCATACTCCTTGCACAGATCATTGCTGAGAAAAGAGTAGCCCTTTTTTCCCCACTGTCTGATGGAGCCATTTGTACTTGAATTATGAAACATTACCAGTTGAGCTGCATCATTCTACAACTGCTGTTGCATAGCTATAAATGATGTAGAAGTGTACAGAAATGCAGAGAAACAGGACCCCGGAGTCATTCTGCAGCTAAGCCTAAATGAAAAATGTGTAGGTGTCTAGACGGGGTCGATCAGGGATAAAATGATAGCTTGGGTTTTGCTTGCATGTTTTTGGTTTCTGGTCAACCCTAAAACATCTAAGCACCTTTTCCTTTGATCACATTAATCTTTACTTCAAATGACCAAAAGCCCCACTTTGCTTTGTAAATAAACAGAATCCTACCTTTGAAAACGAGCAGTAATGACAAAACTGTAGGCTTTAAAGATAAGAGACTGGTTTGTTACAGAGTGAAGTTAACAATAGCGGGCTTTTGTCCATCTGAAGTAAACATTGATGTTGTTATGCATGTGCTCATCGCCCACATAAACCTGGGCAGAACTGTCTTTACATTGCAGATCACAGCTGCCGACTGCTCCTAAGTTTGTTACTTCTGAAGCATTCAGATCTGTAATGGTGTCGTGACTACCTTGTTCTGCTACTGCTTGTGCCAAGACCTGAGTATATCACCAAGTAAAAGGTGATGAGACCAAAAAAAAAACCCAATAAAACCCTCAGAAAAAAACCAAAGCTTCCACTGTTGATTAATCTTATCAATCAGTGATGTGGCTCAGGCCTGCATATCAAGCTGCTTAAACAACTTCAGTTTGAAGCACCACCTTAAAGTAAATGTGAATAAAAGGGAGAAAGTTTTAAGCTCTGGATAGCCTGAATTTGCTTTTGGATCTGTAGATAAACTAATTGATTTTATATTGATAACATTTATCTAGAATTCTTTTTCCCCACTATCTGGTGGGAGTGGCTGTACAGTGAGAAACCACTTCCTCAGACTGGGCTGACTGCTCCAGCTGCTAGGATATTGGCGTGCGCGATCTTCTGGTTCTTTACCAGAAATTTCACTCTGGATCCAAGAAATGTTCACAGTTATGGTTTAGGCAGACAGATGCTTTCTTTGTGAAAGGTCTGTTTTAATGAATTTAATCTTTTAAGTTCCATGTACCCAGAAAAAAAAGTCATTGATGTTCAGACAGCTCATCAACAGGAAATATGGTCAAGGAACTGTTTTTGTTTATTTTCATGTTACTCATACTACAGGAGATGACTGTGTCATTATTTGCACCTTCCTGTGAGGTGATGTCATGACGACTTTCACTGCTGTGGTGTTCAGTTTTTTTTATTTGCGGAATTTAAATCTGAAATTCTTACTAATCTTTAATCAGACTCATGTTGACCACAAGCCCAAGTTTGCCGAGTGATCTGGTTTTTTTATGATGTGCAAGTTATACAGTGTAGTGATAGGTAGGGGAAAAAACCCTAAATTCCATTATTGACGAAGGTTGGAGAACTCGGAATGGAGGGCCCCAAGAGTGCATGAAGTCCTGGCTAAGGAGCAAAGAGGGTTTATACTTGGATACCTCTAACCACACTCTTTAGTTTTCTAACAGTCCCTCTGTGTTAGAATTGTTCATACAGTAGAAACAATAGTTCCCTCAGTGCATCCTGCCCTTCAGCTCTGTGGGGTAAGGAATAGAGAGAGTTTCCTTGGGGATAGGAGAAGGGCTTTGATCACTTGTGATTGAGGACAAGCCACCCCTGCGCTGTACTGAATCAGCCCTGTGGGTGTGTCTTTTCAACAAGACAAGTTCTGATGGAGGGATGCAAAATTCTCACATTATCTTACCTACTTTTCAGGGAGCCAGAGCACTCAAGCTGCAGGCCAGATTTGCAAGAGAGCCAGCTGAGCGCAGCAGATGAAAGGGTAGCGCTCATCTGCAGAGCCGCATGTATGTACATGGCTAAAATAAACCCTAGTCTGCTGTCATTGTCAAGAAGTGTAATTTATTATTGTGGCCAAGGCAGCCAGGAAAGTGCCTTTTGCTTTTTTGGGAAATTATGTTCTGCACTGCACTGCAACACTGACGACTGTGCCAGAAATGTTGCTTTTGTTTGATTGGCTTTCTCTAGAGTTTTTTTGAGATTTCTTTTTTTTTTTTTCCCCCAAAAAAAGTTTATGCTTCATAAGTGAAGCAGTGGTCTATGTCTATTGGAGTTACTTAGAGCTGCAACCGGTTGTCTAGCTTATAGAATCAATAGTCTTTGGTAGACACTCATGAGCCACAGGGGAGGCAGGTGGTAGCAGTTGTATGTATGAACTGTAACCACTTGGGTTTGTCCTTGGAGGAAGTGGATTAAAACCAACCCTAAGAGATATTTGGGGACAGGCTTCATCCGGTTCCTAAGGCTTCTTATAGTTTCTCACCTACAGCAAGACAATATAACTTCCCGGCATTTCCGCACAACCTGTTGAGCTCATTCTGCAGTAACATGAATGCCAGGCAATAGCTGCACACTGATTAGACAAAGAAATTTGGGCTGATTTTGTGCAATGCATGTGCTAACTTCAATTTAAACTTTAATCATAAAATAGACTGCCTTTTCTCCATTTGCAGTACAAGATACCTGATGTGTCTTCTACTAGATAGCTCTAGTCATCAATCAGCACCCAACTCAATCTTTTTTCTAAACCAAAGCTTGATGCAGAATGCTATGCCAAGGTTGTCATTAATGCAAGAAATTGAACTGTGTATTTTAGTGTTGTGCAGTTTGAAAATTGTTGCAGTCTTCACTTTCCAGAAATATCAGCTGAATCATGGACAACTAGGATTAAACAACTCAAGAGCTGCGTATAAAACAAACAAACAAAAGAGCTGCGTATTAAGTAGCTCAAGAGCTGCCATGTGCAGTAGCTAGAGATAAGAGATAAATGTCCTTTTCAGGCCAGAAAGCTGACAGGAGGTTGGGCAAAGGCTGAGAGCAGCTAATACTGCAAAATGGCTCTTTATACCTGTTGTACAAGGAATAAGACAATTGAGTTCATGGTTGAGGGCTGAAGAAGGAATTATCATCTACCAGCATTGTTCAGAAAGTTGCCTGTCCACGCTCACCCTAGGTAATGAAAGGAAAAGCTATGTTTCTTATGCTCTACAGTTACTGTAAAAGGAAAAAAGTTGATTATAAGAACTTTGTGCCTCAATGGGATTTAATATCAAACAATGCCCTCTTCCAGGATGGACAAACACTTCCACGTCTGCTCTGCAGGTATGTAGTATACCATGTTTTGATGTGGGTAAGTTGAATTCTTGCAGACTACAAAATTTTGGATCTTTATAGCAGGACCACAGCTGCACTAGTAATGAATTTATTTATTATAAATAAAAAACAATAAATATTTCATAACTTACTATTACAGCTTTCTAAAAATATACATCTAATTTTAATATTCTCAAAAGTTAGTTCTGCATTATACAATTATGGACAAAATGTACAAAATTTTTTTGATAACTGACACTTTACCCTTTAGAGTCTATATTAATACAGAGATTAATTAATGCCCAATTAACAATATCCTGCTAGAGAGATTTTAGCAGTATTTAAACAGAAATAAACTGAAAATAAAACACATAATTTACTACTATTTAACAAAAGGCAGTTCTCCACAGAACTAGCTCTATCTCTATTTAACAGCTAAGTTTTGGCTACTGTTATGAATAGCCATGTGAGATCTGAAGGGCCTCTGCAAAGCTTTCCTCAAGATCATCAAGTTCTATGTTGGCTTCCAAATCACTGCCACAAGTAATCAAGTTTAAAATTGCCTCACATGAGGGTGAAGGATCTGGGACTTCTTCAGATTTCACACAAGAATCAGACTCTGTCCCAGCTGCCATCGTTTCAGTGACATCTTCTGAAAAGTCATCCTTGCTCTGTGTCTCCTTTGAACTTTCCCTGCATATAGGTGATTCACATTTGTTTGGTTCCTTTAATGGTAAGTCCATGGTCCCAAAGAATTCTTCACTTTTTGTAGCTTTTCTTTGCCTCTGACTTTTACTGGTAAACTCAAGCTTTTCCATCGTATCAAACTCTTGCAGATCCAGCGAGTCAAAGGCTTCCCAGCCTGCATGGATTTGCTCCGTACCGCTGCCCGGGCTGCAGCCAAGGTCTGCTTTCAGTACATCCAACAAGTGGCGCATTTTGCTCTAGGGGGTGAAGGAAGAAAGGGGTGACACTTCTCCAGCCCCACGGCGCCTATCTGCCCAGAACTCAGGGCTTAATTCTGACATAAGGAAAGGGAGGCTGCTTGCAATCAAGTGAATAAATTATACAGCAAGCATCACCAAACTGAGTTGACTATTCATCCTTTTTTGTGACTGTGCCTGTGACTCCTGATCTACCGTGATCCATGAGTCTGCAAATCTCATTTATGGAAAGAGATGCTCCCCACTGAGCATTCTGGTTACCTTTACTCGCAAATATACCAGTGCATTTCCACTGTACTTTGGAAACATCGCTGAAGTCATATGCAGAGAGGGAGAATATTATAGGGACAGGCACCTACCTCATCCAAACGGTTCTTATTTTCTTGTATATGACACTCAAACAGTTGTTCCAGAACTCTACAAATGAACAATTAAATGATTTCACAGGAAGAAAACCAACTTTTAACAGATCTACATAAATTAATGACCCTAGGTTTTTATTTTAATTTCTTAGCTGAATGGGACCACCAAGATTGTTTCAATTACGCTCTATCACAAAGAGAGCTACCTGGAGTCGGTATCCCACTGGACACATGCTCAGCAGGCAGACCCAGCTTTTGGGCAGCAGATGGTAACCATGGGGTGATTTGTAGCACAACTCTGGGTGTGTTTGATCCGTTGGGTCTATGCGGTGGGACAAACTAACAATCTAGTGGTGGTTCTGCTGGCATGCTGAAATATCCAAAGTCTTTTAGGTGCACCATAGTGGCTGATATACACAAGTGTAAATAAAGGGAAGGAATAAAATCCAGCTTCAGAAAAAAATCCGGAGGAAAGTCCTCAGTCCTGAGAGCTCTATTCTATTGCTGAAGCAGGATGAGAAAAAATTTCAGCACAGAGGAAGTGTTCTTTGACAACTAAGGTACATAGTCACTGGAACAGATTTCCAGAAGGTCAAGTGAATTTAACCTAGCTTACATGAGAAATTATTTAAAAAAAAAAAAAAATTAGTGCAAGAAGGATTTTAAGGGAAGACAACATTCCTGTAAAAAACAACCAGAGGGAGATTACTCTTGAAATTTCTCAAAGATTAATTTTTTTGATTTAGTGTATTTAACATTCTCATTGATAGCCTTGACATGAGAAAAAAAAATGAGAGTGCACAGAATAGAAAAACAGCTGAGAATATTATCAATCCAGAGGAAGATCAGAATATTATGCTGAATTTAGACTGCCTTGAAAATGGAATTACAAAAATGGGTTAAAATTCTGCATCAGAAATAGTGCAGCATTTTTTTGCTATAAACTAAGAGTTCTTTACCAGAAAGAATTGGTACAGAAAAGAATACATGAATTGTATCATAACTTATCGTTTAATTATTGAAAAAAATCTGATTTAGCAACTGGTGAACCCTTATCTGAAACAGTATGTAATCCTGACAACCCGTGTTGAAGATTGGATTAATACTGGAACAGGAAAAAGGACAGAAGGGGGATGGAGGATCTGTTGCATGAAAGATTAGTCACTTGGTTTATTTAGCAAAACAGATGTTCCAGAGTAAAATGATTTTTTCTTAGCATTACTCCACCTAGGGTTCCAGTCAGTTTCTAACAGAGGCTTTATCTCATGGTACATAGCAGCAGATCTAAGTACATGACCACAGGTCTTTCCTAGTTCCCCTTTCTTACATAAAACAAAAAATAAAAGGAAACAAAACAAAAGCAAGGGGTAACTGAGTATCTATATATTCTTAAAGGCAAAGAAATGATTACTAAACACTATTTCCCTTTCTTACAGAGTCTGTTTCTGACACAGCATTACAAATTTGAAAACAACCATAACCTACCTGTTAGAAAATAGCCCAAGGCTAAGAATTTCATTTGTTACATCTTCAATGAACGCTAAATATAAAAGCTCTTCTTCTCTGCAGGGAGAACAGAAAACCCAACGTTACACGTTTTAAAATAGAGACACATATTACACAGTGCAGTAGGTCCAATCACCTTTATGGGAAATGCATTAAGAAGATTGTATAGTTCTTGGCGCCAGCTGCGATTTTTCAAAAAGGTAATTCTATCAGGACAAACTAAGCCTTTCATTCAATTTGAATAATAATAAACCCCCCTGTGTTAAAATATCAGACTGTTAGATAGCTCACTATGGTGCTTCATGTTTATGCTAACTTTGTGTTATGGTATAAATTAGCATAGAGCTCCTGAGTGAGGAAATCGGCAAATCTTGGCAAGCCTTCAGCAGCTGCTTTGCACGCAAGAAGAAAGGGGTGCTAACTGGGAGGAAAGTGTTAAAATTGCAGTTTGATGCTCTGAGTAAAGGCTTCCAAAGGAGCTTCTAGAGAATCTGACTGCAGCTGAAAATTCCTAGGCCTCGATGGAACCTCAGAAAAATGTGTTTATTTGACAGCCTCCATTCCTTTCAAACAACAACTCTTTGATGTACAAAATCCTTGTTAGTGTGAGATGTGGCTTTCACCTCTTTGATCAAATTTCTCTCTATTTTAATACCTTTTAAAGCCTTGTTGATGCCAATTGCTCCAAATGGGAGACTCTCCAAAAGTTTGGAGTTCTATTTGGAAAACAACAAGAAAGAAAACCCCTTTCATAACATCTTTCTAAATATCCCAAAGTATCCAATCAAGGTCTATCGAATTATCCTCCAGTCTTAATAAGCAGAAAATAAAAAATTGGATACATCTTGGATGACTTTCATTATGTAAAATTTGTCATCCAACCTGAAGAATGTAATTTTGGTTCCCTCTATAGTCAAGAAAGATATCTATAGCTGTTCTTTGATACCTATATTACATCCTTAAAGTTAGGCAAGAACAAGCCTGTGCTAAAGCACAAAGAATTAAATGACTTTCCCAAGATCACACGATAAAGCACTGGCATTGTTTCTGAATATAACTCAAACCTCTTCTAATTCTCATCAAATTTCAGAGCACAAATGTGGTAAGAATGCCCTTCAACCTGATACTTTATTTTGCCAACATTTCCTTCAAAGATTACAGACCAAAAAAGAACTGGAAGCGTTTAAAGTATAGCCACGGGGCAAAAAGAGAAGTCTTATCTTTCTTCCGAAGTTATAATGAATTTTCTTCATTTTTAGATTCACATGGAAATTTTTAAATATTATATAACAATTCATAGTCATGTCGATTCTACTGTAAATTGTGAACAACAGTTTATTCTGAGTCCTCATTTACTGCTTCAAGTTCATCAGCTTTGAGGGAGTTTCTAGTTTAATGTTGCAAACTAGCAGAAGAATGGTTTAAGTGCACTTACTCAGCCTCGATAGTCCTCCTTGCTGAAGACTGCTGAGAATACAACGATGTCTCTCTATCAGAAGATCAGAGGGTAAGAAAGGGAGCAAACATTCTAAACCCCTTTATACTACCTTGCATCTCATCTTCTTCTGGAGCCATGCTGTGCCATTATCCCACTTCCTCTTGGAAAAAAACCCACCAGAACACCCCCAAACCCTGCTCCAGTAGCAAAATACACTGCTTACATTGAGGCTTGAAGGACTATGGTTCAAGAGTATTACCTCACTAGATGCAGTGCTCTAATACCTCAAAAGACCTCAGTGTTGCTTCAGATGCTGTACAGACCTCCACTATCCATAAGAGTGCTTTTTTTACTCAGAGTACAATTTTTTCCTCAGGTAAAAATGCCTTTGTATGAAAAGGCCAGAGAGCAAATGAGCGAGTCATGCATGATACTTAGGTCAGCAATGAGGAGAATCAGCTGGAAACCCTTGGGTTCCCAATACACTGTTCTTGTATTGTAGACAATACTCTGAATCTCAGTGTTACATTTTCAGAAGAAGATGCCTCTAGTCTGCAATTCTTGCAAATCATAGATTCAAAAGGCTGGATGTCTAGAGACCCTTTTTCCTGAAAGGAAATACCAATTGGAATACCAATCCAGTATTTAGTTGTAGTACTGTATAAGAAATATATAGTCTGTAAGCTCAGATGTATGCTCGGATGTACAGAACTAACAGCTGTATTAACATGTCATCGCTCTCACTCCTGACAAAAATACTCTCATATTTCAGAGCTCTCTTTCTTAACTGGCCTCCCAGTGGAACTTTATCATAAGAAAATAATGAATTTTGAAGTTGGGAAAGGCCATTCATCTAAAAAACACAACCAAACAAAAGTCCTGTGAGAAGAGACTCAAAGAGAAATGGTAGTGAAGGCTTATGGCCTAAGAAGCAGCTGTATAGAAAGCAAGTAGGAATGCTTCAAATACTCAATAAATCAGGCACCTTAGGAAGGAGTACGGAAAAGCAGCTATTCCTCTCTCAGGCTCATCCACAGTATCTCTTCTATCTTCAGCCTGCAACAGAGAGAGAAAAATCTTTATTATCAGTGCAAATACACAGCAAATTTTACCATTAAAATGAACCTAATAACTCTCTGTGATTAAGGAGCCCTACAAATTTTACATCTTTTCTGAGAAACTTTGGGTAAACAGAGACATATCGCAGCAAGGGGTCATCAGCTTTGACATCCAAAATTTTAGTCAGGGGCAACAGGAGATATGGAACATTCCTCCCCTGACAAGTACGTCAAAGAGGAATTCTCTAAAAGCCAGAGGGGGCCGATGTCACCAACAGGAGTAAAATTTGGTATGCAAAAACAGGAAGCAGCACTCTAAATCACATCTCTTGAGCTGCTTGCACAAAACTGATGGAAAATAAAGTTGCTGACTGTCTGCATTTTAAATGATAATACTCTGAAAGGGCCACTGTAAAGCTACATGACTTACTGTTGTCACTTTTACAACAGCCAAAGAAAAAGTCAGATATGACAGTTTTGAAATGAAATCAGAAGTTCTTCATAGAACTGGAGTGAAGCCTTCTGAATAATCATTTAACCTTTTCTTCATGAGGTCAGATGCAGATCAATTCAGGTGATTTCTCTTCTATTTTCAGTAAAGCTATAAATACATATTCTCTCTCACCCCTCTCCTTCAATAAATAAAGCCTAATTATTTGCCTTATTAAGCTAGAGACATGAAGAGTCTGATCCTGTAGCCTTTATTCAGGAAGAAAGTCCACAGTTATTCAAGTACTTCTCGTCTGTTTGACAGGGCTGTTTGTTTAAGGACTTGTCGTATAGCGGCTACAAGATAAAGACAAAGAACTTAACTTCTGATCAAACTCTTCCATCCAAATATTAGTACAAATTAAGACAAAATAACTTCAGATTTGAAGTCTTAAGAAATATTTCAGGTGTTTTGCCTGCTTCCCTCTGCCTCCCAAAGATGCTAGTATTCCATTTCAGCTTTAAAATTTAATAATCTTAAACCACCACACACTAAGGCAATTTCTGAAAGACCAAATAACCGAAAAACTAAGTTCAACTGTCACAAACACTTAGCAATTCAAATCAAAATGATGGATGCAAACATTTCTGTGACTACGACAAAAAAATACTACGAGCTGGTAGAATTTGAAGTGGTGTGATTTTTCATTAAAGCATTCCAGATATATTCAGCAAGACAGAAAGCAAACAGTATCAAGGAAAACTTCACCACCCACTGGTTTGGGTGCTTCCTCAGAGGAAGGGACTCTTTGGCTTGAATTCTTCTGTTGAGGGCTTTTTGCAACATGTTATCCAATGTAAAAATGAAGACAAAAAATTCTTGAAAAAGAGGTACCTTCTTCTGCTGAAAAATAATGTACCAATTATCCATGTCCTTAACAGATATTTAAGTGATAGTGCAACTTATAAAAACTGGTGAAAAAAAAAAATTTTAAATTCTGTAATATCCCTAAGATCTCTTCACATGCCTCAATATTTTTTCTTACTGTTTCCACTCATTCTTCTGAAATTTTCCTCTACAGAATTAATTCATCTCATGACAATAAAGAAAATTAAATTAGTTGTATACTGCTGTGGCAGAGATGAAGTATATACTCCAAAATGATGGTGAAGGGTATGGTAAAAGTACCCACATGACTGATAGATGTATGATGTATTACCTTCAATGTGATCTTCTGCTGTTCAGTCATAACTTTTCTCTCAGACGCTTTGTCTTCCGATGGAAAACTACAAAATTTAGAGATGTATTAGATTTCTAAGAAGGCTACTTTCAAAATATGCAGGATGAGAATACCAGTGCCACTGTGGAAATTTCCCATCAATCTGAACGGGACCTAGTACTAAAATGTCTTGCACAGTTTAGAAAATTTCTGCCAGACTTCCATTCCCATAATAAAACTAAGTTATAGTTCATTTTGAAGGATGACAGCAGTCATACATAGGTGATCCAAATCCATTATTTGGCTGCATATTTACAAGGGATAGCTAAATTATCCAAAATAATTGTTCAGAATTGAGAATGGAGATGTTCCTATGCATTAAAAGTGCACCAGGAAAATATATGACCCACAGCCAGAAAATCAATAGTTGCAATATGGAGCGAAAGCTATCATAATTCCAGTCTTACGAAATTCCTACTTTGTTCTACGTCAAAACCAGAGTTAGACATACAGGCACTGAGGACACAAAAGAGAAAAGATTTTTCTTTATGAGATAGTATCAGTAAAAACCAAATCAAAACTGTTTAATTTGCTAAGAAGGTGTTCAATGCAAGAGGACATTGATTTTGTGTAAAATATTTCATATAGGATACATGTGAAGGCATTTAAATTAAAATGGTAAAAAGACAATGAAGAGCTGCATTCAAGAGAAAAAAAAAAAAAGATCTTTGCATGATGTATTAATTAACAAATTGGAAAGTATGAGACTACAGGGGCAACAGTGGGGAACTACTTGCCTGCTTATAGTGATTAATTCTTTAGAAGACAGAAAGCACAACTATACACCAGAGAGACCAAAGAAAAAAAGAGAAGGAACAACTATCTCCAGCAGATGTGAGATACCAAATTTGGATTTAGTGGCACTTTGTATCCAATTTGTAAACATGAAACCAGTTGCTCCAGAGAGAAGACAACAAAATATGCCAGTGAAAAAAGGAAAATCACATTCTGTTCTAGCTTTTGCTAAGGCATATCTAGAATAATACAGAGTAATTATTCTGGTTTTATACAAAAGCAAATGAAAGCAAAACATGTTGCTTTTATGAAGATACTGTTATGATAACATTTAAATTCCACAGTTTCAAAATAAAGTTTTAATCTCTGTACCTGATCACATCAGTCTGCGTTTGAGCTTCCACATGCTGCTTGCAGTGATTTTTCCTTTTCCTTCGAGCAGGAGTGTAATACCTGTACTCTGACAGGAAAGATTTAGCATCTGATATTAAGGTGCGTGGAGTAAAAGGTTTTTGGCTATCAGTAAAGAATTCAGAGTGCCTGTCTAGAAGATCCCTGCTGCATACTTTGGAGTTGCTTCCTTGACACCTCTGGGAATGATTAATGCTCACAAAACTATCAGTGGAGCAACTGCATGAAAGTCCAGAGCGTTTTCTTGGTGTACCTGATGTACTGACACTTGAGTTTGAGTTAGATGCATTACATGTATTCCGAAAATCTTTTCTGGCATATTTTACTGGACTGGAGCGAACCAAGCCATGCTTGCCGTAAGGAGACAGCGCTCTTGATAGGTACTGTGCCTGCCGAGTACAGGGGAAGAGACCATCTTTGTCTTCTGCTTCCAAGAAACTCTAGAAAAAATTAAAACAAGATTTGATTGCTTTGCATGTTACCAGCTTTGCTCAAGTTGGTACTCCCAGATATGATTGTTACCAACTTGGAGGTATTTTCTATGTAAAAACTTCCCGTTTTTGTAAAATCAAGCTGGTTTCAGAGCAGCCCCAGCGCGAACAGATTTTAAAACCTAGTCATTGGAAATATGAGAGTAATAAGAAAATGGTTTGCTTCAGTAGCAAAACATTGGTGCTTTGTTACAGAATATTGATGGCTACATCAACCAAGAGTTCTAAGCATTTTTGTCCAAAGGCTCAATACATTTTTAAAAGTCAAGGAATCATTGCATTGAGGCAAATTATTTTATCTGGGTATGTTCTATTCATACCACCTGGGCAAGGTAAGGTAGACATTATCCATAATTATCCTACTGACTAGTTCACAGTACGTATTCTTTTCAAGTGTGGAGTTGTTGCCTCTCTCTCCAAATCCTATTAGCTTCAAAGCCTATCACACACCAGCTATCTTTATAAGTTGTATATTCTTTAAGAGGCACTGCTCACTGATTCAACTTAGACCAACATGGAAAATACTGTAATGTGGTTTAAGACACAGAATAAGAAAACTCTAACTAACTGTTTATTCCATGTGTGACCCTTTTCTTCCTGCAGGTGGGAGATGCACATCTTTGGTAGAGCTGTACAAACACAGGATGTTACCTTGTGTAATGCATCCTGCTCCACGAGAAATGTCCTAATTGCTATGATATTACAAACAATCATAATGTCCTCCAACAGTCAAGTTTCTATCCTGTTTTCCTTTGGGTTTCTCAACCCAGCAGGTACACAGGCAGCTATGAAACTTTCCCTCTAACACTACAGAAAGCCAACAGTGCAAGCTTACTACAGTTAAACAGGACAGATAACGCGCTGAGTTTATGAATAGATATACTCCATCTATATACATATACTTGATGGTAGAGAAATGGTATTACTGTTCCTGCTTCTTAACTGTTTAAAAATGTACTTCAATTCTCAGAAGCAAACTCATATTCAGTGTTACTTTAAAAGGATACAGTTAAAAGGTTACTAGTTAGACAACAAATTAACAGAGACAAATCAGTAGTACATGGTGGTATGGCTAAAGTAAGATGTAGGCAGTGTGTGGTTCAGACTAAAGTTATGGTCAGCTAACTCACTCCTCACCAAAAGAAGCACAATTTTACATGCAGATTGAAGTCCAGGTGTCAACTTTAGTCAGTAAGAATGCCTAATTGCGGTTTTCAGTAACCATCTATTTTGTATAGAATCTAGCCAAACAAATCTCATTGACATGGAGGGCAATCAAAACAAAATGGGAAACCTTATAGCAAAAGCTCATCTATGCGTCTCTTCTTTTCCTCTTTGAGATTTGTAAGTTTATTTTTAAGTCTTGAGTAAGTTAAAAAGTTAGTAAAGTGAAGCACTGCAACAAATATTAAGAGTAGTTACAAGTACACTAGAGACTAGTGATGACCATGAATATAAATGTCTTATGGAAGCTGATGGGGAATTTTCCAACACATCTGATTTTAGAAGGGCTGAGTCTTACCAGAAACATCATTTTAATGCCAGGGATAAGAAAACAGTTGATAACCTAAAATCAAAATTTGAAAACTAAGTCTATCATTGAGAAAGGTTAAAGAATTAATTATTTGGAAAGACCATGCTATTTTTTCTGCTTTCTGAAAAAAAAAAATCTTAATGCTTAAAAATTCAACATTATTCCTGAATTGTATTACAACACTGTGGCAAAGACAAGTAAGACACAAACACAACTAAATCTAAGTGACATCTTAAGCTTTTTTTTTTTTTTTGTCAAATAAGAAAGAACAATCCAATAGAAATTTTGTTTCTGTCATAGAGAGAATTTTGAAAAATTTGCAGCTTCAAAGCATAAATACCTGGACAGGGTATGTGCACTAGTAAACATGCTTTACAATGTGTCTGAAAAGTTAGGAAGCATGTTAGCAAGACAGCTGTTGTATATTCTTTTCCTACCTGGGATACAGCCACCCACTGAATATTCCGTCAGTCAGTGAAAACTATGTACGACATTTTACAATCTCCAAGGACAGCCACATTGCAGAATTAGAAGATAAACCAGAAGCCTAACAGCAAACAAAATTTTGTATAAACTTATTTCATCCACATGTATAACTATGCAATTCAAGGTCTGTTAAACACAACTGTATGATGGAGAAGAGATGATGACTCACATTGTATATACTCAGACTACCTGGCAGTACAACTCCCAGAGACAGAGCTTGCACCTAGGTCCTGCAACAGCTGAGGATAGTGTTATTCTGGAAAGTCTCATTGCCATACGGTGCAATCAGTGTAATACAAGGCAAAATAACAGCTAAAATAAAACTACATCTGAGAAAACCCAATGCAAAACCAACAGCTAACAAACCCAAATTAATTCAGTTTTAACTAACTAGCCAGACTTTTAAAAAATAATTATTTTACTTTCCTTACACTCAAGCAGTTCATATAGCTCCACATCAACAGCAACTAAGTGCTGCAAGATTTGAGAGAATATATACGAGTAGAGGTGTTTCCTAAGAAGAAAATTCAATTTCTAAGGCCGATTAAGGACCAGATTTTTAACAAACCTGAAGTTTAGGTTCAGATAGGCTAACACAGAGATTAACTTGTTGATGTACCTCCACCATCTGAACAAAGAACAGGAAGATAAGGAGACACCTGTACAGGCCATAAAGCTCTGCAGTAAAAAAAGGGAGAAAGGGAAGTTGATTTCCATATGTGTTCCATTCATCTCTATTGTGCTTCTATCAAATAAGTAAAAAACTATTAAAGTAGAAGCATTACATTACTGAAGTCATTGAAGGAATAGCTCCCCTATAGAAAGCCTGAGAAAGAGTGGATCCAGTATGATATGACTTAAACATATGCTGTGATATGCATTTATTTATGACATACAACTCTAACTGCCAGTTGAGAAGATTCACAGATTCACCCAGCAGCCCATCCTGATCTTACAATTAATCCATGTGGAAATTATTTTGAGAGCCTAACACTGAAGCATGGATTCAGTGGATTTCCAGTGGTGCTTCATTGCCTGAGCACAATATAAACGTGGAGAAAATCTTCAAGAATGCTTCACTTCTTGAAAATAATCAGATGAATAGGATGTGGATTGAAGGTTGGATGTGTCATTTTCTCCAGCAGAAAGTGACAATGGACTGAATACCAACAAAAGGGGCAAAATCAACTGTAAAAGAAGGTACCTGTGGTAATTCTGCAGATAATCAATACATGTTGTAAGACTTTTGAAATCTCCTACTGGGGGAGGTAAGGAGGGGGGGAAAAACCAAACAACCAAACTTGGAAATCCTTATACATTTGTTGAAAATTCATGACATTGTAATGTATTAATAGATAGTATAGGATAGTAATATATTACTAGCTAGTAATATATAGTATAGTATATTAACCTATGTAATTTATAGTATAGCTTGTAAATATACACAGATTTTCTATCATTCAAATCCTAAAAAAGGTGTTCTTAAAAATTTTAAGCAGTATGACTCTTACTGTATAAATGCTGCATTTTCTCATAACACTGCTATTGTTATTGCTTTGAATCTACACTATTCCATTTTTTCCCTTTCAGAACCACTTAGTATAGAATCATAGAATCATTAAGGTTGGAAGAGACCTCTAAGATCATCGAGTCCAACCGTCAACCCAACACCACCATGCCCACTAAACCATGTCCCTAAGCGCCTCATCTACACGTCTTTGTCCTGGTTAAACCACGACAGTCCTTTAAATACTTCCAGGGATGGTGA